AGTCTGTTTATATGGTGGATTACATTGATGGATTTTCCTATGTTGAACCATCCTTGCATCCATGGGATGAAGCCTACTTGATGGTGATGGATGATTTCTCTGATGTTTTCGTGGATTCGATTTGCCAGTATTTTATTGAGAATTTTTGCATCAATGTTCATGAAAGATATTGGTCTGTAGTTCTCTTTCTTAGTTGTGTCTTTGTGAGGCTTGGGTATCAAGGTTATTGAAGCCTAATAAAAAGAGTTTGGTAATGACCCTTTTGCTTCTAGTGTGTGGAATACTTTGAGGAGTATTGGTATTAGTTGTACTTTGAATTTCTGGTAGAATTCTGCACTAAAGCCATCTGGCCCTGGGCTTTTTTTGGTTGGGAGATTTCTGATGAGTGTTGAATTTCATTAGGGGTTATAGCTCTATTTAAGTTGCTTATCTGTTCTTGATTTAATTTTGGTAAGTGAAATCTGTCCAGAAAATTGTCCATTTCCTTTAGATTTTGAAATTTTGTGGAGTACAGGTTTTCAAAGTATGACCTGATGATTCTCTGGATTTCCTCTGTGTCTGTTGTTATGTCCCCCTTTCATTTCTGATTTTATTAATTTGCATGTTCACTCTTTGTTGTTTGGTAAGTTTGGATAAAGGTTTGTCTATCTTGTTGATTTCCTCGAAGACCAACTCTGTGTTATATTGATTCTTTGTATTGTTCTCCTAGTTTCCATTTTATTGATTTCAGCCCTCAATTTGATTATTTCCTGGCATCTGCTCCTCTGGGGTGTATTGGCTTCTTTGTTTTCTAAAGCTTTCAGTTGTGTTGTTAATTCTCTAGTGTGATTATTCTCCTGTTTCTTCATGTGGGCATTTAGCGCTATGAACTTAGCACTGCTTTCAAAGTATCCCACAATTTTGGATATGTTGTTTCTGCATTCTCATTGAATTCTAGGAAAGCTTTAATTTCTTTTTTATTTCTTCCAGGACCCATGAATTGTGCAATTGAGTGTTACTTAATTTCCATGAGTTTGTAGGTTTTCTGTAGTTTGTGGTGTTGTTGATTTCTAATTTTAAAGCATGGTGGTCTGATAAGACACAGGGGGTTATTTCAATTTTTTTGTACCAGTTGAGATTTGTTATGTTGCCAAGTATGTAGTCGATTTTAGAGAAGGTTCCATGTGGCTCTGAGAAGAAGGTAAATTTTTTTTGTATTTGGATGGAATGTTCTATAGATATCTGTTAAGTCCAATTGTGCCATAACTTCTATTAGTTCTTTTGTTTCTTTGTTAAATTTCTGTCTGATGTTCCTGTTCAGTTGTGAGAGTAGAGTGTTGAAGTCTTGCACTATAAGTGTGTGTTGGAACCCAGCCCCCATGGGGTCTCTAAGAGTTGTTTTCCCGCATAACCACAGGTACCTCCTGTTTTCCTGACCTCACCCCACTGGGATCAATATCCTGTTGTGAACCCTTTGACCTGGGGTTTTTGTAAGTGTGTATATAAGGCTGCTCCACAATAAAGGTGAGAGACATTCTCTCAGAAAAGGACCAGGAGTCTTGTGGTTCATCCAAATCCCCAGGCTTTGGCCCAATACTTGGACTTAGTGGTCCAGAGCAGCCACAAATGGAGGCCTCATCAAGATTGGGAAAGAAAGGGGACCCTGAGAGATCATCCTCAGAATGCTGCAAAGCAAGTAAGGAGTTGTGAGGGTGGATTGCAAAAGGTACTAGAAAATAGGTACCTCAACTCCTGAGAGAGTTGGATTGGCAAAAGATACTAGAAAATAGGTACCTCATCTCCTAAGAGTTAGATTGTAAAGGCACTGGAAAATAGATACCTGAACTCCAAAGAGTTGGATTGGATCATAAAGGCACTGGGAAAGGGAGTGCCTCATCTCCTGAGAGAGTTGGATTGTAAAAGCACTGGAAAAGGGGTGCCTCAACTCCTGAGAGAGTTGGATTGGAATAAAGATCACAGTCAATCACACAGATAAAGTTTAAAGAGATAAGGTACTGGTAAGATTTAATTTTAACTTTGGATTAAGCAATAATGCTAAGAAAATTATTAAAGAAATGTGGGAAATCACCACTGAGGTATCCCTCCTCCATGAGCTACCCACCAGTAGCCAGCTGAGCCAGCAGCCCGTGCTTTTTTCCACTCGAGCCTGCTTCGGGCTGCAGTCAGACAGCAACGATGTGGTGTGCACAGGCTGGCTGGAGAAATTGCCTCCTGAGGAAAAGTTGGGGCTCTATTCTTGGAAGAAACGCTGGTTTATCCTGAGGAGAGGTCAAATGAATGGTGACCCAGCAGCTGCTCCAGTCATCACCTGCTCGGAGCAAGAAAGTCCTCAGCCCTTTCACACTCTAGCCAGCTACCTGTGCCAAGCCATATCCAGCCTGCCTTGTCTACCAGTGCA